TAAGCGAAGTTTTATTTACCCCAAGTTTGGAGAGTAAGTCTGGTTAATTGGGAGATGCCCCTTCCAGGGGACCAGATCAACCCCAAATAAACCAAATAAATATCATGGGAGACCATGCACCAGCCTCGAATTATAGTATAAAGACTTCGAATAAAAACCTTTTTTTGTCTCTAAAAAAAGGCTTTTAAAACTAATGTATGTTTACCCTCTTTTTCCCTCATTTTACCTCATCCATCCCAAATTTGCCTATTTTTTTGGCTGCCCATGAGGTAAAATGAAGGTGAACCCCCCTCGCCCCCCCCAACAATAGAAGTGGATACTGGTGGGGAGGTGATCATTTGTTTGTTTTACATTAATAGTGACACATGTTAAGCAGGCGGATGAGTGATACATATTTTGTATATAGAAGGCTGTAACACTTGTAACGCCTTCTTGTTGTACCCCCCCCGAATTATTTTCTGAACGAAAGCTCAAAAATAACCCGAAGAAAAATCGACGGCCTTCTTATACTCTAAATTTGAGGACCGTTTCTAAACCTAAAATAGCACGAAAATCGATTAGCTAGGTTCAGAACCTTTCAACACTTCCTTATCCCTCAAAATCGATCTTTTATAGTTTAGAATGCGAGCAACAAAATGAGTTGCTTACCTGCTCATGTGTTTTGTCGTACTCTGCTCTTCGCTCAAGTTCGATCAGTAAGGTGAAGGATTGCCTCGATTCTTTCGGTCTTCAGCCCTAGGTCAAGAGCTGTAAACCGAAGGATCAAAATATAATATTGCGTTGTTGCTCGCATTCTAAACTATAAAGATCCCGGGAATTTTTTGTATGAGGGATAAGGAAGTGTTTATAGGGTTCTGGAAACCTAGCTAAATCGATTTTTTCCGTGCAATTTTAGGTTAGAAACGGTCCTCAAAATAAGTTAATAAGAAGTCGATTTCTCGTTTATTTTTTGAGCCTTTCGTTCAGAAAATAATTCGGGGCCCGTCAAAGGGGGGTAACGTGAAGTGTATACCAAAGCCTTCTATAATACAAAATATGTATCACCTCCTCAGCCCTGCTTAGACATGTGCTCCACTATTAATGTATACAAACAATGATCACCCTCCCCCCAGTAGCCACATCTATTGTTTTTCTTTAACAAAGATGAGCTCATGATCAACGTACGAACTCTGGGGTTGATCTAACTACAACATATTCTACTTTTCTTATTTTTCACCGTTCCCACTTAATGACGTTTAAATACTCGTTAACCCATTTGAAATTAAGTGCCAATTCATTATTTTCCCACGAACACTTGCGAATTGAAAATGTTTTGTAGTTTTTCATGATATTAGGATCTCCAGACTAAAATTAATTGCGTAAACTGTAACTTCTTTTCACAATTTTAACTTAAGTTTACCCTCTTGTTATCTGATCTTCAATTAAATGACGTGCATCTCGATCCTGTATTGTTATCCGGTCTGCTTTAACGGACAAAACTAGGCGTCAGCCTGAAAGGAGATTATTACTAGATTAGACACTCTTTTCAATGCAGTTATCGATCACATCTAACTAAAATACAAACTTATTCAGACTAAATCGCCGAAATTGGTGAGATCAGAAAAAAAAACAGGAAATACTTTTAAAAAATAAACGATTAATGAAGAAACGATAACATACAATATCGTCCTCGCTGGATAAATCCGGCTTTATAATTATTCGGATCCGGTTCCAATCCGGTATATCAACTAAAAATTTCAAAACTTTTGAAGAAAAATTGTATTTTTTGATAATTTGATCTGGAGTACTCACAGTCTGATTTGGGACCTAAATGCAGTCTCGAGATTCTGATGCCTGGGTCAAAAAGGCTACAAGCCGGGTCCTTAGCATAAGACACAGAAAATTTCAAACGTTTACCGTTAATTTTTAAAATAATTTTCTGACATCCCTCTAGCAACCAGCGTGAGCTTAGAAATTTCAAAACATCATTAAATTTTATAATTTTCCTGTTTGCCACACGTTCTTGTCTAGCGATACAGGGAAAACAGATGATATCTGACCGTTTCCAGTCCAGCAGCCGAATTCATAGACCGATAACAGTTCGGTTCTTGCCGTTTTGTGTTTATATCAAATGTGTTTATGTGTCAATATTTATACATGCGTTCCCTAGTCTACAATCAAGGATCTATAACCAGAGGACGATTTACCGGAGGATATATTCCTCCTATCTCTCCGCTCGTGCTTAGTCCTCCAACTGTACCACCTAACAATTCGCTAGACACCTAACTGTAGTATCAAATTGTCTAAAATATCAGCAACTCATAGATTAGGTAATAATGCGCGAGAGTCGGGGCGCGAAGGCTCCGGCTCCGAGGCTACTGCAGAGGCTCGGGAGCAGCCCCTGGAAAATTTAACTGTATTATATTCTAAACCAATAGATGTGGTTACTGCGCTGGTAGGTGATAATTGTTTGTTTACGTATTTAGGTGGCGCCTCTATCAGCAGGTGAAGAGGTGATGCAAATTTTGTATTATAGAACGCTGTAACACTTGTAACTCCTAACTCCTTCTTGTTGACCCTCCCTTTGAAGTGTCCCGAACTATAATCTATGAACGAAAACTTAAAAATAACCGAGAAATCGACCTTCTTATTAACTCATTATTTTGATGACTGTTACTGACCTAAAATTGGTGGGGGGGGGGCCAACCAATTAAGTATATTAAAATGTAGGGATTTTTTTCCCGGATTTGACCCGGGGATAACCACCCAATAATTTGACTATTTTTGCTCCAGGCTTAGATGCTTGGTGACAGTACGATCAAGTGATTCTTGACTGTAACGTTTTTCCGGCAAAACGTTGGTTGGTGGATCAAAGTTAAACAACTGTTATTTGTTTTGAAACTTCCCGCCAGCCAGTCTGAGGTGACTCGCAGTCTGTCCTGATAAGACGGTGGCAATAGCCTTATCAGTTACCAGTGTTCACGACTTTTCGGGGATACAATTCCCGGAAATGATTATAGGGGGGGGGGTCCAAGGGGAACTTTGGGGAGTTTTGGGGAACTTTTTTTTGGGGAACTTCAGGAAACCTGGGGGACTTTCCCAAAATTCCCCAAAAAATTATCAATGAAACAAATAATTTTGGGGAATTTTGGGGAACTTTTTTTGGGGAACTTCAGAAAGTTCCCCAAAATTCCCCAAAGTTCCCCAAAAAAAATATAATGCCAAACAAATTATCATGCTGCAAGTATCAACAAGTAAGTTAAGATTATACCTTATAATAACATACATGTTAACATTAATGGGTATTAATGTATATTAGAGAAATTTTGAATAATTTTGAATAATTTTGAATAATTTTGAATAATTTTAAATAATTTTGAATAATTTTGGGGAATTTTGGGGAACTTTGGGGAGTTTTGGGGAACTTTTTTTGGGGAACTTCAGAAATCTTGGGGGACTTTCCCAAAGTTCCCCAAAGTTCCCCTTGGACCCCCCCCCCCCCCCCCCCCCCCCCCCCCCCGATTATAATACCAAGTATTGCGAGAGTAACTCCATCTCGTTATACATTGGAGCAGCTCAATCACATACATTCTCCTTACTCTGACGGAGACATCAGATACCTACTACGCACAGTACTACAATGGTTAATACTACAATTATTCAGCTACATAAACATAAACCTTGGGGGGCCTCATTCAATACGTTAAACAAACAGGCCCAAATGAATTTGTAACTTATTTTAAACTTTCAATGAATTAGTTAACTTTTTTCTACAATAGTAACTAACGATAAGTTATTAAACCTATTACACACAAGTCCTCATAATATAATAACTTACGATTGGTTGTACGGCTACAAGGGGCTCGTTCAAGGAGGACATCTGAAGTTGGGATGTGATTGTGCTTACCATACCCGGTCATGCATTTACCATCCTATTGAAATGTAATTAATTAATTAATTAAGTGTATTCAAATTATGAAGAAGTTGTGTTGGTGTTCTCAGTCACATACGGCACAGTAAATACCATGATAGTACCGATGATAATAATAAAATTCTGTATTAGAAATGAAAATACTGGAAGAAAATTTGATAAATTTTTAGTTTCAAGTTCAAAGACGCTCAAATAAAACTTCGAACATTAATGCGAGAATATCATTGCAGGACCACAAAACTGGTAACATTGAACAACAACTAATTCAATCAATCCACTAAATCATCAGAGAGCATAATCTAAACATAAATCTTAAATTCTGTAATTTATCTGATTCTTATATAATTATTTATTACGTATAGTAGTCAGTTAGCTAAAATAAAATCGAAACACTTTGTCTTAAATTCTTACTCGGTCAGATTACATTAAACCATTAAACCATTATTATTAGTTAAATATTCATTGTAAGTTACACATAACTTAAGTATAAAACGAATGTCAAACCTCATACGATTTCGCACAAACTCTCTTTTTTTTTTCTATTTATATATTGCAAGTTCTGAAGATTTTTTAAAATGTTGATACAAATTCGGATAGAAATACTACTAAAATATTATATTTAAAAAGCACTATACAAAATTGTTTTTTAAAAGCGTAAAATAAAACTTAACTGAATCGTTTGATACCGGAGCAATTAATTAAAAACAAACAAGTTAACCAATAAAACAAGAAATGCGGCCGCTTTTCTTTTGTGGATGGCCGCTCAATTTCCCGATCCGGGATGAAGTATTTTATCATATTCCATACTGCACCTGGGGACCCCAGTCTTTGCGGTTTATAAGCATGCAGATATGGCGGAGTGACAGGCCGAGCGCCGCCCAGTTGATATAATTCTATATTGAATTTGAAAATCGTGTATATTTCTATGTAACCATATGTTTATTATTTATGCAACCTGACACGGATTTGTGCAAAATAGTAATACTAACTCAAAATAATAATACAATTATGCTATCAATTTGTCCCTAGCGGGATGCGTACATGGTGAAATTAACAATGTACTTGAACATTTCAGCACCGCGCGCCAACAATTGTTTAATTCAGATGATCGCGCAAAATAACTTTGCGCAGGCAGACACGTGGGCGATAACTAGACTGGGCCGGGGCGAGGGCACGTACGCACGCACGGTCGCAAGCTACCATATACAAAAAAAAACCTTGATCGCTAACCCTTGTCCTTGACTCTTTTGTGCCTTCGGCACAAGTCATGGATCGGGAAAAAATTCTTGTTCACAATATTCTGATCCCTCTTATACAGTATTCCACAAATATACACATGAAGAGAATGGCTCCTCATTCCTCAATCCTCATTATATTCATGAAACATTAAGAAATTAGTATTCTAAATATCATATCAAGAAAAGAAATGATAAAAGATGACTAGAAAGAGTTTTCGGAGATGAATGGTATGAGAGGTATATAAAAAATATCATAATTTAAGTTTGTTACAACCAAATAAATGGAATCAGACTAACAGATCTCATGTTTGATGCCCAAATTGATCATACAACAGACAACTATCTGATAAAAGTGGATATAATTTTATGTTATCTGAACTAGAATGGTGTTTAAACCTCAGTAGAGTCCGTAACGACCTTATAAACAAGACACTCGAAATATCGACGCCCAAAATAACAAAGCAAAGTTATTCCAACCACCGTGAGTGTTAGCGATACTGATATAATCCAAATCACAATTTTTGAAAGACCAGGTGTATCCATTCCTAAGTTGAGGAGGGTCAGTTGATCAGTACAATTCACCCCAGATTCATATTGGCGAGGTCTTAGGCCAAATGCAGACACCAGATAAAGCTCAGGTATCTGTAATAAGACATGGGTCTCATTCCATTTGGTTTCGTCATTAGTTGCTTTGACTCTCAGGGTAACATTAGCAGTTGTAGCGTCAATAAACTGAACTGTGATGGAAACAGTCATGTTTTCAAGTTGCGCAGACGCATTAGCCATTGGTCTTGGTTTCAGCACGATGGAAAGAATGCTGTCCTTAGACATTCGAATACCATCTCTGAGAAACGTTGTGTTGTATACGTTTAAACATAAACCTGTAGAATAAATCAATGTTAAGAATTATAATACTATAATACCTTCGCTTCTGAGTGCTGAGCGCGATAATTCCCGACAGCTTTCTAGAGGGAACGCGCGGGCACGAAAAAGTGAAGGTACCATAGGTTATAATACCTTCCGGGAATTATATCCACTAAAAGTCTCGTACACTGAGAGCTGATAATTTGCACATTTTTCCCGCAAGGGAAGCCAAGGTATTATCAGCATTATAGACTCAGACTGGCTGGCGGCAAGTTGTAAAACAAATAACACTGGCGTTCTGGGGGGGGTCAACCTCATTTTACCTCATTTTACCTCATCCCAATTTTTCCTTTTGTGGCTGGCCTCATGAGGTAAAATGAGGTAAATTTCGGCAAAAATTTTTAACAGGTAAAATTCTCTAAATCGTCAATTTAGTCACGAAGGAGTATGGAAGGCCAAGGAGTTCTAAATGTGTGCTCCTCTAATATAAACAGTAGGAAATTGTTAACTTTAGTCGAGGTCTTGACAGGTCTCTACAATGTCGGAAAGTTCCTGCAGGAATTTGCGCATTGCGCTTGAAGCGCAAGATTAACAGCGCCAAAAGCGAAGGTCGTAGAGACATGAGACCTTAACTAAATTTAACCATTTCATACCATTGCTATAAGATTATGCCACTTTCAGAGTCCTGAACACACTCCCATATCTCTTAATCGTCAATTGTATGAATTTTACCTGTTAAAATATATCATCTTTTACTAATATCAATTTAGTTTAACACTGTTAGTTTTAAAAAAGAAAATAATACTTCACACCAAACTAACACACAATATGAGAATATAAAGAGGAAATTTTTCTTGGAGACCTGGACCATCAAAATAGTGTACATTGCTGCTGTCATTGTCAAGACTCCAGAATAAGAGGGTCTAGTTGTGGGATTATGCTGGATAACAGATATGATAAGTGGTAACATCCTACAAAAGAATGTTAGCTTACTAAGGAATTTTCCTCTTACCGAATTATACAAGAAGTTAACTAAGTTTCTCCTAGTCCTAAGCATTATTTTGTTTCAGAGGGAATGAGTGATTTAAAAAGATGAGGCCAAAGAGTTAGTTGTGAAGAAGGCATTTGTACTCTGTAATTTCTAAGCTAATTTTTTTCGATATTTATAGCTATTTACTGATCTTGTTTTGACGTATCAGCAAGAGATCACTGGACCTCGTTAGTTGTTAGTCATGTTATGCTGATCCAGTTAGTGACGAGCTATGAAGTAATCATTCGACCTCATTTAATACTGATCCTATCAATGACGAGCTATGAAGTAATCAGTGGATCTCGTCAATACTCATCCTCTCCGGACTGTCAGTGACGAGTTATGAAGAAATAAATGAAGACCTCATTAATTCCTTGTTCCAAGAAGATATTCCTCTGGCAACAACCCCTTCTGGCCTGCTCCTGAACATAATATGAAGAATGAAGATTCGAAAACCTAGTCTACCTAAATTGGAACTTGCTGACTGCATTGGAAAATGGAGAACAATCGAGAAATGATAATCAGTGCCAGGTATATAATCAAAGTTGAATTCGGAATCCAAGGAAAACCTTCCTTTTTTATATTATCATATTGTGCGTTAGTTTGGTGTGAAGTAATATGTTCTTTTTTAAAACTAACAGTGTTTTAAACTAAATTGATATCAGTTAAAGATGGTATATTTTAACAGGTAAAATTCATATAATTGACGATTAAGAGCTGTAGGAGTGTGTTCAGGACTCTGAAAGTGGCATACTCTGATAGCAATGGTATGAAATGGTTAACTTTAGTCAAGGTCTCATGTCTCTACGACCTTCGCTTTTGGCGCAGTGAATCTTGCGCTTCAGCGCAATGCGCAAATTCCTGCAGGAACTTCCCGACATTGTAGAGACCTGAAACCTCGACTAAAGTTAACCATTTCCTACTGTTTATATTAGAGGAGCACACATTTAGAACTCCTTCCAAACTCCTTCGTGACTAAATTGACGATTTAGATAATTTTACCTGTTAAAAATCGGTGAAAAATATGGGCGTGGCCCAAGTCAGTATTATACAAAACCGTAGACACAAAAAATTGTTTGGTTGTTCCTGATCCTATAGAGCAACTAATTAGAGGTGATATCTAATTGTTTGAACGAAAAGTGGTTTTGTGAACCGCCCTTTATTCTACAGCGAATCATGAACATTGAACATGTACATAAGAACTTAGAATTGTATGAAGTATAAGTTTATATGAGTAATTTATTATGAAATGACCTTTCACTATGCAATTTCGACTAAATTCATGTAGATATCCAATCCAGTTCCATGCACAACTGTTGTTTACATTTGGTCTAGTAAGACACAATTTGTTTCAGAGTGACTCGATAATCGCAATATCAAACTAAGATATTATTTAAATGGTCCATGTCATGCAATGCGGAAATATCCCCATAAATTGGCAACTGCCAAAGTGACACTAAAGTTATTGCTAATTCCTTTACAAAACTTAGCAAGTGCTATTAACAATTTCCTAATGGATCATGGAAATTGAAATGTTCAATTTTCTTTTCATAAATAATAATTATAATGCGAAGTTTTATTTACCCCAAGTTTGGAGAGTAAGTAGGTTAAACTGGGAATGCCCCTTCCCAGGGACCACATCACCCCTAATAAACCATTAAATATCATGGGAGACCATGCACAGCCTCGAATTATAGTATAATGACTTCGAATAAACCTTTTTTGTCTCTAAAAAAGGGCTTAGAAAACTAGATTTATTTACCTCATTTTACCTCATTTTACCTCATCCCAATTTTGCCTTTTTTGGCTGGCCTCATGAGGTAAAATGAGGTTGACCCCCCCCCCCCCCCCCCCCCCCCCCCCCCCCCCCCGTTCTATATATTATACACTATATTGTATCATGCGCACGTATCGGATTACACCCCTTCCAATCGGAACCGGAACAACTTTCGTCTTGGTAGATTCCAAACACAAGGAAATTTTCCTTCTGGTTGGTAATATACTCAATGATGGGAGTATAGTGTATTGGCTATGCCCCGCTTACTAGTTTAGCTCTTTCTAGTCCCCTGCTACACGGCATGTAAACAGGGATTGGCTAGTTAGAGGCGGTCCGTGTAGGCCTTACACTGTGCTTTCAGCAATACTCATAAGTATTTCCGTGGCTGTGGTTGCAATGCGCCTAGTCTACTGGAATGATTCTTCGGAATTTCGCTGGATTGTACAACTTTCGTCTTGGTAGATTCCAAACACAAGGAAATTTTCCTTCTGGTTGGTAATATACTCAATGATGGGAGTATAGTGTATTGGCTATGCCCCGCTTACTAGTTTAGCTCTTTCTAGTCCCCTGCTACACGGCATGTAAACAGGGATTGGCTAGTTAGAGGCGGTCCGTGTAGGCCTTACACTGTGCTTTCAGCAATACTCATAATACATAATAGCTTGGCAATTTCGTGCCCGCGCGTTCCCTCCAACAAGCTGTCGGGAATTATCGCGCTCAGCACTCAATAGCCAAGCTATTGGGGGGGGTGTCATGTCCGTCTATGTCCGCCTATGTCCTGTCCTTTTTGGATTCTATGAGACAACGGACGTGTTTTTTGGGACATTGGCGGACACGGACGGACATTGGCGGACTCGGACGGACATTGGCGGACTCGGACGGACATTGGCGGACTCGGACGGACATTGGCGGACCCGGACGGACATTGGCGGACTTGGATGGACATTGGTGGACATTAGCGGACATTGGTGGACATTAGCGGACAAACATTTTGAGGACTGAAGAGTACTGAAGAGTACTGAAGGGTACTGAGGAGGATGGCTGAGAAGGATGGCTGAGGAGGATGGCTGAGGAGGATGACTGAGGAGGATGACTGAGGAGGATGACTGAGAGGGAGGAGAAGGATCAGGAAGACCCAGGAGGAGGAGGAGGAGGAGGAGGACCCAGAAGGAGGACCTAGGAGGAGGAGGAGGAGGAGAACTGAGGAGGATGACTCAGGAGGAGGAGGACTCAGGAGGAGGACTGAGGAGGACTGAGAAGGAGGAGGACTGAGGAGGATGGCTGAGGAGGATGGCTGAGGAGGATGACTGAGGAGGATGACTGAGGAGGATGACTGAGAGGGAGGAGAAGGATCAGGAAGACCCAGGAGGAGGAGGAGGAGGAGGACCCAGAAGGAGGACCTAGGAGGAGGAGGAGGAGAACTGAGGAGGATGACTCAGGAGGAGGAGGACTCAGGAGGAGGACTGAGGAGGACTGAGAAGGAGGAGGACTGAGGAGGATGGCTGAGGAGGATGGCTGAGGAGGATGGCTGAGGAGGATGACTGAGAGGGAGGAGGAGGAGGAAGAGGAGGAAGAGGACTGAGGAGGAGGAGGAGAGGGACTGAGGAGGAGAAGGAGGACCCAGGAGGAGGAGGACCCAGGAGGAGGACCCAGGAAAAGGCCCCAGGAGGAGGAGGAGGACTGGGGAGGAGGAGAACTGTTGAGGACTGATGAGGAGGACTGAGGACGAGGAGGAAGAGTAGGAGGAGGACTGAGGAGGGGAGGAGGAAGAGGACTGGGGAGGATCAGGAAGACCCAGGAGGACCCAGGAGGAGGAGGAGGAGGAGGACCCAGGAGGAGGAGGAGGACTGAGGAGGACTGAGGAGGAGGACTGACGATGACTGAGAAGGAGGAGGACTGAGGAGTACTGAGGAGGATGGCTGAGGAGGATGGCTGGGGAGGATGGCTGAGAAGGATGACTGAGAGGGAGGAGGAGGAGGACTCAGGAGGAGGACTCAGAAGGAAGAGGAGGAGGACTCAGGAGGAGGACTCAGGAGGAGGACTTAGGAGAAATGAGAACTGAGGAGAACTGAGGAGGAGGAGGAGGAGGAGGACTGAATAGGAGGAGGAGAAGGAGGGGGACTGGGAGAGGACTGGGGAGGAGGAGGACTGATGAGAAGGATGAGGAGGAGGACCCAGGAGGAGGAGGACTGAGGACCGAGGAGGAAGAGGAGGAGGATGAAGAGGACGACCCAGGAGGAGGAGGACTGAGGAGGACTGAGGAGGATGGCTGAGGAGGATGACTGAGAGGGAAGAGGAGGAGGAGGAAGAGGAGGACTGAGGAGGACTGAGAAGGAGGAGGAGGAGGAGGACTGAATAGGAGGAGGAGGAGGGGGACTGGGGGAGGACTGAGGAGGAGGATGGAGGACTGAGGAGAAGGATGAGGAGGAGGACTGAGGAGGACTGAGGACTGAGGAGGAAGAGGAGGAGGATGAAGAGGAGGAGGAGGACCCAGGAGGAGGACCCAGGAGGACTCAGGAGGAAGAGGAGGACTGGGGAGGAGGAGGACTGTTGAGGACTGATGAGGAGGACTGAGGACGAGGAGGAGGAGTAGGAGGAGGACTGAGGAGGGGAGGAGGACTGAGGAGGGGAGGAGGAAGAGGACTGAGGAAGATCAGGAAGACCCAGGGGGAGGAGGAGGAAGAGTAGGAGGAGGAAGCATCTAAATGTTATTTCCATTTTTGTCCGTTTTTGTCCATTTTTGTCCGTTTTTGTCCGCTCTATTTTTTGTCCGTTTTGAAAATATAGGGTACCGAACGGACAAAAAACATGATCCCCCTATAACAGCAAAAATTGAACATTTTATTTAGCAATTTAGGTGTCCATTAATGTCCGCCTATGTCCGCCTATGTCCGTCTATGTCCGCCTATGTCCGCCTATGTCCGTCTATGTCCGCCTATGTCCGCCTATGTCCGCCTATGTCCTGTCCTTTTTGGATTCTATGAGACAAGCGGACATAGACGGACGTGACACCCCCCCCGCTATTATTATATTATAAAACTTCCCGGTTCCGATTGGAAGGGGTGTAATGTGATACGTGCGCATGATACAATTATATAGTGTGTAATATATAGAACGCCAGTGTTATTTGTTTTGAAACTTGCCGCCAGCAAGTCTGAGTCTATGCTGATAATACCTTCGCTTCCCTTGCAGGATATTATATCTGCAAATTATCAGCTCTCAGTGTCCACGAGTTTTGGTGGATATAATTCCCGGAAGGTATTATAAAGAACAGAGCTCTAATTATGTACATTGTCCATAATAATTAACTGAAAAATAAAACTTCTGTAGATCAAGCTGGGATTGTGGACTGTCCATAATTCGCAGGAATCTTGCAAGGGTGATTTGTATTTTACTACAAAGTAGTGAAAAAAAAGATAGCTTTAGTTGCAGATGCATAATAATGAACTTAAAAGCCCAACATAGGTGAATGCTTGGTTTTAATAGCAATGCTAATATTGAATTAGCTAAGCCAAAACAAATCACGAATTCTCAAATCTTAGCTGGCACATCGTCAGATTCTTCAAGTTGTGACACTTGCTGAGGCTCAGATTTACTGTTATTTAATTTGTGATTAATGTGATTTACTGTTACTAATTAACATTTTATGGAATAGATAAATAGATTGTCACATACCTTTACAAGATCCCACGACAATCTCAGCTTGAACAAAATTCCCTCTCTCTGGTAGCAGGGACATTTCATTTGTTTGCAATTCCACACTCTCTTCACAGTTTTTGTAGAACTGTGAACCTGCTGAATCACGCTTCAATTCCGTCCTGTACTCGACCTTTAGTTCAGTTTCAGGCTCAGAAGAAGCCTTTATGACCCGGTCAGTTGTATCGACAGGATGTTTCCCGCCTGATCTGATAATTAAAAATGTTTAGGTTGATTTATCATAAAACTCTGCAGTATACAATATTAAACCGATTTCAGGTATGCTTATATAACATGTTGACTATATGCTCATATTTAACACTTGATAAATAAAGATAGGAACTTACTGAGGAGTAACACTTTCACAGCCATTGAGAAAAGCTGCAGCAAAAATGAATAAGTGCAACGGTTCATTTCCCATGCCATGCTGCTCCATCTACAGTAAAAATAACTTCAGTAAAAATAATCTCAGTAATTAGCTTATAGAAAGCAATTCACTTTGTAAGTCTAAAATTAATCATGTACTTCTGTGAATCTGATTAAAAAAGCTTCAATATGTTTCCCTTGCACGTTCAAAAACATGCCTGTTCCCTGCAAGATTCGCTAGACCATTCATTAAATATTTCTCATCCCAGAGGCAGTGGCGTAACAAAGGGCCCGTTGACCCTGCTGTGGGGGGCGGGGGGGCAGCCTTCGTTGCCAATATGAACAGTGATCATCTTATACTATCTCAGTGGGGAACAACAGAGGGTGATACCAATGAACTTTGTATGCACTGAGCCTGATACCCCAATCCAGGGAAGTCCAGGTAAAACAGACAGAACCATACACAGAATCAGAAAGGGAACTAAACACTTTTCCCAAGCAGGTTTGATATGCAGACGACTCTGCAACAGGGATAAAACTTTAACAACTCATGAAATGGTGGGCAGATCTGAAAGATCATGGCCCAATATATAAATAAATCAATTTCGAAAAAATTGTAAATATGAAATCCTTGAATATTTCGAAATGGCTGCAATTCAACCCCTTTCAATAGTCCGGAGGGAGAGTCAACAAATCTTAGAACAGGTAGAAAAGTAGAACCATTAGTCAATACTTTCTCAAACCCGACTGGACACTTCTGAACTCAAAATCGCTTCTTTAAATAGTAAATCCTAAATTCTTCTTGACTCGTTTGACTCTCCCAGTAAACCTAGTGGAGTATAAGCTCCTGGTATCAGGTTACTGTAAGGCTTACAGTAAGCCTTACAGTAAGCCTTGCCCTTGATTCACGATGTCAATCCTTCGCAGCTCGGTGAGGCACAGTGGTGCATCTCGCCGATCTACCGAGAAGCATTATTTGATGCGCGCGCGACCCAGTAGTGCATCGCGCTACAACTACGAGGAGTGGAGGGAGCGGTGTGGTGCATTATAATAATGTTCCAACAGATCTACGAAATCTGCCCGATGTTAAAAGCTTAAGTGATTAGTAAAACAAAATTTGTATTTACCACAAAACAATCAATACATATTTAATATTATTATACATTTACAAATAAATCTAAATTTAAATTCAGCTATATACACACTACACAGCCCGCCGCGCAGACAGCCACACATTGCTGAGAGATTCTCATGTATAACAGATGTAAGCGCCGCGCGCGCGAGGTTTGTTATCTTACAATTACATGTCACGATATATTATTAATTATCAGAGAATTTTAGAAGCAAAATAATAATTGCATATTGGGAAAATTTCGGTCGTTAACGCAGTACAGGGCGTGGACACTGCAATGCTAATAACGGAAAATTCTGAGGCACGAGTTTCATTCAGCTACCCAATTTACATGTGACATGTACTTGTATTAAATTCAGATAAATGTTAGTAATAATCGACGCCAACATTGTGCAACTGTAAACTGCAAAATGTTAACGTCGATTACCATTAAAATTACATCTAGCAAGTTATTAATTCTTTGCACTATTTATGTTACGTCACTATAGCATATGTCATTCATATTGTAGGTTATATAGAATAAAAATAGACATTTTATAATTGTTTCAATGTTCAACACTGCTAAAAAACAAATACCTACTTTCCCATCGATTAAGCAGTCTCCAAAACAAGGCTCAAAGTTATTTCACCTTCACACCTCGTTTTGGAGACTGAAGGATGTCAATCTAGGTAAACTATAGGTAAAAATATAATATTAATCAAAAGCTAAAATGTACTAATCTTTGTATTCTAAATGGGGAAAAAGAAGAAACATTGTCAGTCAGTCGAGAAAATTGTCAGTCAGGCTGTATGGCAATAAATAAATAATGGATAATATTAATACTGAATATGATGGATAATCAGTAATATCAATAAAATCCACAATCACTAATCATGTTTTCGATGGGCAAGCACTCGCAACTGGATGCCGAAACAAACGGCGCAAGTCTTGCACCGTTCATGCAGCATACGTCGCGAGATATCAAGAGCTCCGCTAACTCTGCGATTCTAACGGATGAATTAGGCTCCCCCGACAGGAACACAGGTAATAGGGGGTTGTGGAAGGACACGAACACTGTTCGTTAACTCGTACCCCGGGTACCCCCTATATAGATCTATGTCCCGCCGGAGAGAGCCCAACACCAGTCATATCGAAAGCAGCTTTTAAGGGGGGGGGTTCACCCTGATTTTTTTGTGAAACTTGGTTTCGAGATACCAGTTGACCAACAAACTAGGACCGGTGACCGAACTTTTGAGGGGGTCCCGGACCCCAACAGCCAAACAGTGCCCGCGGGGCAGCCACGCCCATATTTGGTCCAAATTAGGCCCAATTTAGCCAAATACCCTGAACATGCCCAAAACCATGCTTTGGGATGCTCTACATGTAGCTACTAGTCTCCTGAACACACCTATTAAGTTTTATCAAAATTGGATAAAAATTGGCCGAGTTATGGGATAAAAACCATATGCCCATATTTGGGCATACGCACCAAATTTGATCGATTTCGGCCCATAAATTGGTCAAATATCAATATTTTTGAATGAAACCAACTTTATATGGAAGGTAAGCCTATACTACACATTCTCTGTGATTATCAGCTCAATATCTATCTAACTGTGGATTCTGTGTTCAAATAATCGCAAAAAATGAGCAAAATTGCCCATATCTCAGTTCGCGATATTTGCAAAACTGACTTCGCTCAAAACAATAGAACTCAATAGGGTTTCAATTTTTTTTCATGAAATTTTCAGAATCAACGTAGAATTGTCTCATGACCTTAAGTTTTGGGACAGAATTTTGAGTTAGGCCTTTAAAAAAATTTGGCGGCCAAAAAAAAAATTTAGCAGTGCTAAATTTAGAATTTGGCCGCCAAATTTTTTTAAAGGCCTAACTCAAAATTCTGTCCCAAAACTTAAGGTCATGAGACAATTCTACGTTGATTCTGAAAATTTCATGAAAAAAAATTGAAACCCTATTGAGTTCTATTGTTTTGAGCGAAGTCAGTTTTGCAAATATCGCGAACTGAGATATGGGCAATTTTGCTCATTTTTTGCGATTATTTGAACACAGAATCCACAGTTAGATAGATATTGAGCTGATAATCATAGAGAATGTGTAGTATAGGCTTACCTTCCATATAAAGTTTGTTTCATTCAAAAATATTGATATTTGACCAATTTATGGGCCGAAATCGATCAAATTTGGTGCGTATGCCCAAATATGGGCATATGGTTTTTATCCCATAACTCGGCCAATTTTTATCCAATTTTGATAAAACTTAATAGGTGTGTTCAGGAGACTAGTAGCTACAAGTAAAGCACCCCAAAGCATGGTTTTGGGTATGTTTTGTTCATTCGAGTTTTTGAACATCAGATAAATTGACCCGTGTAAAATTTTGTGATTTTTCAAAATTCCGACTAATTTTTAAAAATTTCTAAAAACTTTAGATTGAAACTCAAAGTATAACAAAACACTGATTAAAAGTACCAGTACTTTGTATGGAAGCAACAGTATAAACTAGATAATAATAAATAAACAACATAATACAATAGACCACATAATAAATAAAACACTAATCGAATTGTCCCGATTTATAAGAATCGTCAACAGCAGCAGCAACACCAGTTGCTGTTTTTACGATGTCAATCCTCCTTTTCATCTCCTTGTCCATGTAAGTCTCCTCACTTTCAATCCTTTTCTTGTCTTCTTCGACGATGAACTTTGTCAAGAACACTGTTGGCATGAAACCGTTCTTCTCAACTATCTTCCTCAGGTATGCGTGCCCAGAGTTATTTTGCACGACACCTCGAGCAAAAGCTCCTCTTAGAATCTCAGGACCTCGGAACTGAAAATAAAAATGTGGTACAGTAGACAGTTATATGATTACTACTCGCACAAGTAATTGAATTCTGAAACAATGATTATATCTATAACCCAAATGATTAATCGGCTCATTATACCTTCTTTTTCGAATGCTGGCTGTGAACCGAGCTGAAGAGGGATTCCAAATCGTCAGTGTGGAGACCCTTCGAGAGTTTCACAAGCATTAGATCGCTAGTGAATTCTTCAATTATTGGCAGCAGCAATTGATAGAACTCGCCGTACAAGTGCGTCTTTTTCTTGTCGTCATACCTGATTTAAAGAGCTCAGTTATTCTTCTATGCAAGGGGGTAAAAATGTTTTGCAAATAACAGCTGGTCTAAGATATGATTAAAAATGTTTAGTGATTCAGTAAGACTAACTCTGAAAGGTCACCAGCTTGCTGTCTCCTCCAACCACAAAAGCTATTCTTTCCTTTGGGGCACAGTTTGTGACGATGAGCAGGAGGTGTCACCATGCAGTTGTGCAAGAAAACTCCCCGGATCCCTTTGTTCAAACTTTTCATCTGTGATAGTTGTCGTTGTAAGCTTATATAATTCCGATGTCAGGTAATTGTGAGACATAAAAAATATGGACTGTTTGACCTCTTAGGATTTGTAACGAAATATTTGTAATAAAAATATATTTATACCTTCTCTTCAACTGATATCGTTTCAGCAGTCACGCTCTTAACAACCTTTTTGACCTGTATCTGCAAACTGGTGCACTTGTCTCCCGTCATTCTGTGCCCACCAGCACCTCTAATGGAAGCATTCTTCTGCTCTGTTATCTCAATTTTGTCCTTCTTCTTCTTCTCTACCAAAATATTCACAAGTGGGAACTTGTGATTTCTCAATCTAGCTCCAAGGTTTCGGCACCAGTGTTCCACGCAGTAGTTATCGTTGACTCTCAGGCATCCGACAACACCCTTCTGGTGGTCTAGCTCCCACTGCTTAAACTCGTCGCTCTTCCTGTTATAAGTATAATTTACTATTAATTTACAGTGCTGAAATTGGTCGTATCAAAAGCAAAAAAAACAAAAACTATTACCAATCGAAAGGACATAAAACACACTTACAGAAATGATTTCCATTCAGGAGA